TCCTGCTGATGCTGGAACAACACCCACACGTTCCTCCAAGGGGTGTTGGGACCATTTGGCCTGAATGTGGGACGCTCATCCGGGCACAGCGAACTGCTCTGGAGAGTTTGGTTAACATTTGGCAGAATTACAACTCTCTGAGAGTTTGATTTACAACAGAAAATACCAAACATTTTCAATAGGCAGAGGTGGTTGCCGCACTTGTCATCATAGTTGTTGCCCAGCTAATCAGCATTTTTTAAAGTAGGAAATTTCCAGGTGTAATGTGGCACTGACAAAATTGAGAGGGCTCTGAGATCTATAAAAAATGCCAGGAAGAAGTTTAGTGTAAGAAAACCTACAATTTTATGGCTCCTTCTCAAAGCAGAGACAAAAGGAGAAATGAAAAGGGGAGATATAAATAGAAGGATACAGGACTGCCTTTTTGGGAGCGAGGGAGGACGTCTGGGAGAAGAGATCTTTTCTGCCAAAAAAATATGGCTAATAAATGTTTTTGCAGTTCGGTTCCAGAGGATAACCTAGGCTGAGATGCCACCTGGAGGTCTGGAGGGGCGGCACAGCAGCCGCCGGCCTCCGGCTGCAACTCCCTCACCGGGCTGCATCTCCCAGGCCCCTCTTCAAAAGCCTCTGATGTGAAAAAGCATAGCAACTTCTTCCGTCTCTTATGGAGGATTTCTTAATCGATTTGCAAGGTCTTTTGTGTCTGAGAGATCGTTATTCTATCAAAAACACTTTAGTGCTATCCTATGAGGTACCACACTTAATTGAATTTAAACCTTAGCATTTGGAGTTCCTTAAATGGGAAAAAAAACCAAACCAAAACAACCTTCATTTGGTTATGCAGCAACTGAGGCTTATTTTTCCGAATCTCAAAGGAGATGCTTCTTAGAACCCCTTTTTACAACTGAGTGTGATTATCTCACTCCTCATGCGAGCCATTGAGGGACTAGCAGCTCCTCACTCCCAGGACACAGTCTGGTTTTAAAAAGATGGCTCTGTGCTTAAGATATGACATGAGGTGTTGGCAGTCCCAGCTGAGTCCTTGGGACACCACCTTTTTCTTTTCTTCTGTTTCCTGATCTGCCAGAAGGGCCCGTGAGCACCTTTGCATCACTCGGCTGCTTTTGAGGCCGGACTCTTTTCTTTTTCAAAGCCAAGATCTTGAGATCCTGGTGCAGAGCTACAGTGCTCTTTAACTGCATATAGAGTTGCAAGATCTGAAACTTGGCATCATCTTAGCTACAATTGTTCCACTCTGATAATTTAATTAATCAACACTGCAGCAAAGTGTTTGAAATAATGTGTGCATTCATTTGCATAATGGCTGTAATTGGCAAAGCTTCATAATGTTTAAGTGTAGCAGTTCCAGAGATGATAGCATGATAGACCATATTCCCGCAGTCAGCCAGCAGCACATAATTCAACCTCTGTTATTCGCTTTTCCACAGAGAAAGGAAGTGACATCTAGATTTATTGACCACGGGACAGCAGATTTTTCACGGATGCCCCCTCCCTGGAAGTGCACAAGGCCAGGCTGGATGGGGCTTTGAGCCACCTGGTCTAGTGGGAGGTATCCCTGCCCATGCAGGGGAGTTGGAACTAGATTATCTTTGAGGTTCCATCCAACCCAAACTGTTGTGTGATTTCATGATATTTGGTGGCACTTGAACACATACATTTTCTATGTGACTGTGTTTCTGTGTCAAGATTAAAAGTCAGGTTTTAGAGTAGATGGAAACTCCAAATGGAGTTGAATGCTTTACCAAGTAATGGGATGATTGGCCATGCAGGTATCCAAATATAGAGCCAAAGTTGGTATTTTCACTGTCACTTCTAAGTGGAGTCCCTAGTTTCCAAACCACAGTCACCAGGTACCTGAGGAACATCTGCCAATAAAATTAGAAACAGCCACTGGACAGTTCCTTGCTTTCATACCATCTCACTGGGGTGTCTCACTGGGGTGGCCTGGGGAGTGCTCCTGAGCCTTCAGTGCATGTTGATCTTAGTCCTTGAGGACATGATACTGTTTTAAATAAATACTTACCTTGTGACAAACATGACTGTGAGGCATCACTGACCATGCAGTGGTTGTGAAAATATTAATCCTCAGGAGATGATCTTTAGATAATCACTTGTCATCTTTTAACCATCTTACTATATTCATTACTTTGCAACTAGCAAGACAGTTATTGATTAATAACCAAATGTCAGATGACTGCATAAGTACATGTCCTGAAGAATTTAAAAAAAAACAACAGTGCAGCAGAAATATATTTCCTGCTCTGCACACAAGTGCACCTATGTAAAAAAGCCCAGTCTGTGCTCTCAAGAGGATAAGCCTGAGTGCAGAACAGCTATGTCAGGGTCAGACTGGTCATTACTTCGTTGAAATGAAGTGACACTTGAACACTGAGTTCCCAGCTGTGGATGGTTCAGGACAGTGGCTCCCTCTTGGTTTGGAGAGTGCTTTGAAACTCATTTGATACCTCTACATTCTAGCTTCTCTTCTAGGTTTGAGGGACCCAAAGTATGTTCCCAAGTCACAAAATAAGACAAAAAATGTTAACTGCTTTAGCCAACCTCTGTCAATGTCACAGGCAGTTGGTGGGAGCACTGCAAACCCCATTTTTGGATGCAGCAGATGCAGTGCTGAAGGAGACACAATACAGCAGAGGCAGGTGCAGCACAAGGAGTTAAGTAGCTGAGTCCCTGGCATGAGGCTCAGCATGAGACCAGGAGCAGGGACTATAACTTTATGTTTTCATGGTCTGGCTCTGGGTTATATCCCCATTAAGACTCCAGTCAAGCTGCCCAGAAATCTCCCCATCAACCTGAATTTTAGTAGAAAATGTAGATGCATCAGATACAACTGTTTTGTTAATGTAACTTACTAAGTGTTTCTAAAAGTATTTTTCCTCAAAAATTTCTGGTTCACACAAAGGCAGGGGGGGAGAAGCAAGATTATTTCTTCTAACTGGACACATAGCCAGTTTTTTAAATCAATAAAAGCCTCCCATGTCCTGAATTTTGTCTTCTATGGACAGTGAGATAGCAGGAGCATCTAAGGCCAATCCCAGGGAACTTGCCCAAGCACTGGGTGCAGGAAGGAAGGAGGAAACCTGCCTCCCTTTCTTTCCTGGAGCAGCCTGGTGTGATGTGGTGTTATCAGGTGGCTGCTGGCACAGACATGTCATTAGCCTGAAAGCACCTCTGGCTTTACAGATCAGCACTAGAAACAGGGAAAGGACCTCAGCAGATAATGGCAGCTTGCAGGTGTCACCATGGAGAGCCACTAAGCTGCCCTCCACTGAATTTTAGGGGGTAGTTCCTTTCCTGACAGCTAGCCTGTCTGCTTACACAAGCCCTTCATGTTCAAGGCAGTGTCCATGAATGTGGAGGCTTGAGCCAGTGTAAAACCAGCTGAGTGTCTTGCCCAGTAGAGTCTGCCAGACACATGGTGCTTGGCTGTTCCCATCAGGCACAGGCTCCACTGCTGGTTGACCATGTCTTTGCATTTTTGTCTCCAAAGGTACCGCGTTGTAGTCCCGTACCCGCCGCAGAGCGAGGCCGAGATTGAACTGAAGGAAGGTGACATTGTGTTTGTGCACAAGAAACGGGAAGATGGCTGGTACAAAGGGACACTGCAGAGGAACGGCAGGACGGGCCTCTTCCCTGGGAGCTTTGTCGAGAGCTTCTGAGGATGGCTCGCCACTCTCTCAACTGGAGGAGCTTTCAGGGGAAACTGCATAGCACAAGAAGAGACAGCAAAGGGAAACTGGACTGATAACCACTGCCATTTCTATTTCCAAAGACTCCCCCAGGCCCTTCAGTCTACAGCTCTGGAGAAGCAGTGTCCTGCTGTGCTCCCGAAACCAGTGGTATGTTGAAGTAGTGCCTTCCACCTGGAATCACAGACTGAAAGGATGCCCATCTGGACTGTACATATCCTAAACTCTGGCTGTTAACCCTTTGTGTAAATTATAGAGAAGATATCTTTAAAAAGAAATTAAGAGGAAAGTTGTTATATTGCTGTAACTTATTTGTCAGAGCTGCAGTGTTCTTATTACTGGCCTATGCAAGATGAATTTGAGAGTTCAAGGAGGTTTTCTAGGAAGCTCTTAAACTGGGATTTCATTTTTCCCAAGGGAAAAAGAGGGAGGGGAGGGTGGAAAAAAAAAAAACAACTCAGCTAAAGATCAGTGCATCGTTGTACAAGAAAGAATGGAGTCCAAAACGTTAATGTCATGCTTTCTATATACCTCAAAGATATGCTGCGCAAGTTTGTCAGTGAGTGTGTTAGTGCTCAGAGTCCTGGCGCTGCTGCCGGGGAGGTCCTGAAGGAAGTACAGCTCCACCATTAAACTGTGGTTATTTGAGCAGAAACCCTTTTGCCTGTCTTCTGCCCTTATTATATGCAGCATGGATTTTTGTCCTTCAGTATCACTTTCCATTGCTTTTTTGTATGATGTACCTTTTTACTGTAAGAATTGCTCTACTTTATATATATTCCTACTAGATCTGACATTTCCTCTTTTTCATACATCTGGTGCTATTTTTTTTAATTGTTAAAGATTTGGTTTAACAGAGAGGCTGTAACAAGATTTGCATTCAGCATATGAAATCAGAAACATACCTGAAGATCGAGATCAGGCTGCTTGTTTGTGCTTCATAGATGAGAAGAGAAAAAGCCACTTGGTCACCAATAACTAGACCTGGAGGAGCGTGGGAGACACGCAGGTGCTCGCTCTCTCCTATGTATGTGGAGTGGCTGAAGACCCACACTGAAGCACACAGTCTCTGCCTGGAGAGTGATAATTACTCCAGAATTGGCAGTAATTCCCAGAGGAGCCGTTTTAATTGACTTTTTCATGGCAATAAGAAGAACACTGCAGGTTCTAGCACGCGCAGGGACTGTGGCGTTTTCCCCTGTCGTTGCATCATGGAGACGAGAGCCGATCTGCGACGGCTGTAATTAGTGATACCGAAATGTGATTTCTTACTGTAGAAATGTACAGTTCTGGAGACTGTTCCATTTCTTAACGTGGTCAAGCTACAATACAAACCGTATCAGGCAATATAAGCTTCCATCTACCAGGGATTTGAAGGTGCAATAAATGTAAAGTGAGTTTAGCCAGTTATTTGTGTGAAGCAGAATGAGAAAGAATTCAATAATGTGATTGCGAGAGGATTTAAAAAGACATCGTCTCTTGAGGAATGAAACGTGATGAAAGGATTTTCGTAGCTGTATCCGTACCTTGCCTTTGCCAGCAGCTGGCTGTTTGCCAAAGCCCACATGTGGTGGTCATTTAAAAGCGTGTCGGAGGCACTGGAACCTGGAGATGATCTTATTAAAAGGAAGAGGCCCGGTGAGTGAACATCATTACTGCATTACCAGTATTTCACATGCAAAGGTGTAAGTTTTGTTTTCATTCCAGCCGTGTATACTAGTACATATCAGAACTCATGCAAGTGAGCGTTCCTATTTCAGTTAGGCTCAGTGACTTTGTTCTCTGTAAAGTAAGTTTCTTCGTGCTGTCACATGTAACAAACCGATTCCAGAAACACAGTCCGTGGCCAAGTATAGCACCTTCAAACTGGGAGGCATCATTTTCAGGGTGTTTCTTTTTATACTTAATGCTGCCACATTTGTTCATATTCCAGATTGTAATGAGTCAGCCACTAAAAGTTTAGTTACTGTTGAGAGGAAATTGCCTTTTTATAACCAATAAGAGACTGAAGAAACGTCTTCTGGAAAGACTTGCTTGAGACTAGAGCCATATCTGTCCACTTGTTTGATCCAGATCAGAACTGGTACCACTGTCCTCCAGCAGTAAACTGCACAGTTGGCAAGCCAGCAATGCCAAACTGCGTGTTATTGATTCCAATAAAAACTCTGGCTTAGATCTGTCAGAGATGAGGATATTTTGTCTGACAAGTTACAGTGGTTAAAGCTTTCTTAAAATTCTGTTCTGGGGATGTATTTGCTACACTCAGAAAAATTAAACAGGACGACGGCTTGCTTGCTGCCTATTGTGTTTAGCCAGATCTAAAATGGTTCCAGATTTCCAGCTTTTCATTCTTAACTCTAGCAGGACAAAAGTTGGTTTGTGAGGAGGTCAAGGAAAACATGCAGATGTCGTGTCAAGAAATCAGTGCTTTAAAACATATTTTGCAGGGAGGAAGATTTCTTTTTTTAATGGACAACAACTGTTCCAGTCATACCTCCTGCAAAGAAAAATATTGGGGCGGGGGTGTTTCTGTTTTGATAACAGCTGTTTCTGGCCCCTGTTTATTGCTTATCATCACAGTTTGGGTTACTGAGTAATCTTCTTGGACAAATCACTTCCATGCCAGGAGCACAAGTGCAGAACTTAATACAGCTCTGTGATATGAAAACATGACCCAGTGCAATTCGGAAAGCCCTGGACTGAGAGAGATTCAACTCATACTGTGGTCTAATTTTTACCTGTCATACCAGGCAAAGGGGGAGGAAGGGGCATCTGCAGCTCCTACAATGGGGACAGGGGAAAAAAAAAGACTCCTTCTGGCAGCTCAGTTTGTAAAATGCCAGGTTTGCTCTTCTAGAAGTGGGTTCAAGTAATTGAACAATTCCTTTGAACTTTGCACAGCTCAGAAAATGTTTTTGTTATACATGAATGTTAATGTGATTTAGGAAATGTTGGCGAATATGAGTACAAATGAACCACAATGACTGTGTTTCTGATTCTTTAAATAAAATAAACATTAAGGCAACTTGACTGAGTTTTCTTTCTCTATTAGGCAGCAAAGTGAATTAACAGTGTAAGTGGCTCTGAAGTTCACAAAGAAGACAGGGAAGACCCCTCTGCAAACACTGATTTTTTTGACCAGATCCTACATCTCCTTTGCTTTCAGTAGTAATCCCCACATAAATAAAGGTCAGTTAAAGGTAAGAGATGCCTGAGAAGAACTCAGAATTTCTTTCTGGATCTTCTTTTGGCAGATCTGGGCTTCTTCAAAATCTCAAGAAGTTAACAACTTACCTGTGGAGAAAAGGTGTGTAGGTCCAGAGGAAGCAAGTGGGGACAGGCTGGGAAGAGAGACTGAGGTGGTGAGGCTATGGCAGAGAGGCTGGAAGGGGATGCAGCAGCAGAGGCACTTGTGAGGAAAACTGCAGCCTCTAAGCCCACCAGTGGGTTTCAGGGGTGCTTGGAGGTCACCTGGTGGGTTGAGCCAGTTTGTGAGCAAAGGAAGACCCCCCTCTCTCTACCCCCTGGCTTGGGCAAGTGTCCACAGTTGCGACACACTACCAAGGAGTACCTGTACTGTGTCCAGTTCTGGGGCCCCCAACACAAGAAGAATATAGAACTCTTGGAGCAAGTCCAGAGGAGGGCCACAAAGATGATCAGAGGGCTGGAGCACCTCTCCTATGAAGACAGGCTGAGAGAGCTGGAGGTGCTTAGTCTGGAGAAGAGAAGGCTCCATGTAGATATTATAGTGGCCTTCCAGTACCTAAAGGGGACCTACAGGAAAGTTGTGGAAGGAATTTTTACAAGGGCATTTAGTGAGAAGACAAGGGGTAATGGCTTAAATGTGGAAGAGGGGAGATTTAGGTTAGATATTAGGAAGAAATTATTTCCTGTGAGACATTGGCACAGGCTGCCCAGAGAGGTTGTGGGTGCCTTATCCCTGGAAGTGTTCAAGGCCAGGCTGGATGGGGCTTTGAGCAACCTGGTCTAGTGGGAGGTGTCCCTGCCCATACAGGGGGGTTGGAACTAGATGATCTTTCAGGTCCCTTCCCAACCGAACCATTCTATGATTCCATGATTCTATGGTGACCTGGAAGGAAGGTTCTATGGTGCTCCTGGAAGGAGCAGGTTGTTCCCTGAGCATCCGAATGCCCTTCAACCCAGATGAGGGGTGCAAACCCATTTTTGCATGTGCCCTGAGCTTCCCATCCAGCGGCACAGTACAGAGCATCTGGAGGTGGAGCATGCACTGGTTCTGGATGCATTTGCCTTCATTCAGCATGGAGACACATTTGAGGAAGAGGCACCTGAAGGTTATGATTTATTGCCCCACTCAGGAGCTTGTAGGGCAGGAGGAACCAGGCTCGGCTAGGTTAGCAGGGCATCTGTGTCATGGATTTACTCAAGGCAGTCACCCTTCCAGTCAGGTGACACGAGTCTCTCTGCTTCAACTGGATCCTGAGTCAAAATTCTGAAACATGGAAACCACAAGAATTTGAAAGTGGGCAGGCAACACCTTTCCTTCTGCTCAGCCTCCCTGGCTGTCCTGCCTGACAAGCAGTGTGGTGCAGAATGCTGAATGGAGAAGCCTGCCACATATTTCCAAGCTGGTCTGCAGAACTGGTCCCCTCCACACTTTGCCAGGTCCTGCTGCCCTGGCACCACGCTGTCCCACGCTGCCAGCACACGCTGCACACCTTGCCCAGCCTTCACACCTCACACCGGCCTTTACTCCTGTTCCCACGCCTGATAGGAATCCCAGTCATGTTTGAGAGAAAAATAATCATCATAAAATTGTTACATGGCTTGACTATTCCTAAATGCTTGTGGAGAGCAGAAGCACCTGGACAACATCTGCAGGGCTTTCCTGAGGCCAAAAGCCCTTCCTGACATTAGCAGCTCCTTATAACACTGGATGGGGCTTTGAGCAACCTGGTCTAGTGGGAGGTGTCCCTGCCCATACAGGGGGGTTGGAACTAGATGATCTTTCAGGTCCCTTCCCAACCGAACCATTCTATGATTCCATGATTCTATGGTGACCTGGAAGGAAGGTTCTATGGTGCTCCTGGAAGGAGCAGGTTGTTCCCTGAGCATCCGAATGCCCTTCAACCCAGATGAGGGGTGCAAACCCATTTTTGCATGTGCCCTGAGCTTCCCATCCAGCGGCACAGTACAGAGCATCTGGAGGTGGAGCATGCACTGGTTCTGGATGCATTTGCCTTCATTCAGCATGGAGACACATTTGAGGAAGAGGCACCTGAAGGTTATGATTTA